ATATACAACTACTATCGAACGGTAAAAATATAATTTTTTAATACGGTTGAGGCGTTGGATTTGGTTGCCAACTTGACTGTGGTGCAGGTTCAGGCTGTTGTATAACAGGAGCTTGTTCTTCTGGTTCAGGGTCTTTAGGTATAATACCAACGAACTGACCTACTCTTTTACCAATATTTTTGACTCCGTTCCAAATTCCTCTTCCGACAGATTTTATTCCATTCCATATACCTCTTCCAACATTTCGAAAGAAGTTTCCTATTCTTCCAAAGAAACCCATTTTACTATATGTAAAAATCTAATGTCCGCCTAGTCTCTTACGTTTCCTGTTGAGTTCCATTGCATTCTTTAACTGGAGCTCATACATTCTATTTCTCCTCTGGTAGAAAACATACTCTGGGTCAACTCCTGTGTTCGCGTCATCTGCATAGAGTTGTTTATATCCCACTTCAGGGTTTGTATAAAACTCTTTCCATCTCATATTTGCATACCATGGTGGTAAGCCTAACGCAGCGTCATTTGACATGGCAGTTTGCATTTGTACATCTGTTGGCACTTGACCATAGTTTGCCATTGCAGTTTGTATTCTAAACTTCATTTGAAATATTCTCTGGGTTTGGTTGTCCAGGTTGCTGTGCATTTGCTAAGTTCTGTGCGTCCATTTAATATTAGATAAAAATATCTCTTACGAGTACATATACTGGACATTTGCAGGCATTGGTTCATCTTCATATTCTCTGTACTTTTCTGCCACGTCAAATAAATAAATGACACAATGGAAAAAACCTAAAACAAGTAGTCCTATTTCAAACCACATTTACTTACTAGTAAAATTTCTTTGTTATGAACACTTTCTCCGGTTTATAGGACCTCTCTCTATTCTATCTTGTATATCTAAACTCATAGTCATGTATGTCCTCTAACCATCTCATAACGGTTTCCAAACCACTTTTATCGGATGTAAAGTAAAAGCATGGATGGTTATGTAAACGTCTAAAGTTTCTAAAGAGTCTCTCAAAGTCCAGTCTACTTGTATTGAAAATCGTATGTGTTATAGAACGGCGGGTCTACTATAAAGAAAACATTTTCCTTGTCTTTAAATTTTTCATACAACTCTGTCCAATGACATCTCACAAACTCTATACCCTCAATATATTTTTCTATTCTCTTTGAAAACATTTGTATAGTTAAGATATAAAACTTTTGACATAAGTGTTTCAATGTCATGAACTCTTATGCACCACTATATAATAGTCTAGCAGATATACTATCCCAGTCTATATATTCTGCTTTTTTCAAAACTCTCTCACAATATCTTTCTTATCTAATGGTATACGTTCCATCTTACCTATAGGTATCTTTTCTTTCAACTCACTCAATATTTGTTTGTGTCTGGTATATGTTTTGAGACGGTTCATATAGTTGTCGAAGTCATTGCATATAATCTTTGAGTCAGGAAATACAGTATGGCACAAATGGGATATATAGAAACTTCCACCGAACAAATCTACAAATGTTAGCCATTCGGTAGTTTCTTAAGTTCTCTCAATAGAATATCTTTACATCTACTCTTATTTCCAAAGAAGGGTAACGGTGGTTTTGTAAAATTCATTTTATATATATATAATAAAAATGTTTTTTTCCTGAAAGTGACAGAAAGTGACTGGGGCTAGAGGGCACGAAGTGCCTGGAAGCCCCACTACTTTTTTTTGAATTATGCAAAATATGACTAAATAATTATAAATTTCAAGTTAAATTTTAATTTTGATAAATAATTTAAATTTCAAAATATCAAGTTCAGTTCGACTATGTATGTAGTAATTCCTCAATAAAGTGCCAAAACCCTATTAAAATATATGAACATTTTCAACATTTTAATGTTTTTATTAAAAATTTGATGGAATATGAGCTTCAAACAATTATTATGTAAATAAAATAATTAAAGATATGTATTTATTCGTATTACAACCGTAGTAAGTCGATTCTTCCTTTCTTCTACTGAGATTTGAATTTGATTTCGAATTGGAAAGAGATTCAAAGGGAAAATACTAGCGGATAAAAACTACCTCCATGAAAGGGTCATAATGGAGTCAAGTTGTATTTTTTGCTTTTCGAGCCTAAATAGGTAGCCAAGATAATGCCTAAAAATAAGGTTCTAAATTCTGAAGTTTACATGATCCTCTCGTGTGCACCCTTAAGTGATGCGATTTGAGTTAAAATATCTCGAGAATTCTTTTGGCTTTGAAGTTTTTTGAGTTCCCCTGCAGAATCACGCATTTGCTTATCATTTCTAATTAGAAAGTCAATAACTCCATCAAAGACATTGAATTTCATGTATGTTTTAACCGATTTCAGGATTGAAAGAACATCATCAAAGTTTTGAACAGTAACATTCGCTTTTCGTGTACAAACGTATAATTTTTTGGCATCAGTAGTTGATGAAGATTGTTTGAGAAGAGAAATATACTGAGTTGTGGTTAATTTTGAACATTTCATGATTTTATTGATATCGGCTATCTCGAATGTATCAAAGAAATTTTCATTTCGAATATAATCGTTGATGTGGGCAGCGATGTATTCGAAATTCAGGGTAATACCTTGGCTCATTTTTCTAACTTTACAATAGAACTCAAAATTATTAAAAATCCAAATCCCGATCACCACCAAAGAATTTGAGGCACTGAAATTCTTCATCCCTAAAAACAATTATATCCTTCACAGCCCCATTATTTTGATTGGGGGAAAAATCCATTTGAAGCAGAATTTTTTTGATACGCATATGTCACCTGAGACTTATATACCTTGGAAGCAAAGTTGTGCATGAATAAACATAAAATTTACATTTTTGGGGATTCCATTGTTATGTTTGATTTATGTTTCTCATATCTAAGACTTTTAAAATTTTAGGTTATTTGAAACCAATTTATACCTTTTCAAAAAAAAAAAAAAAAAGGTATTGGGGCCTCCAGGCACTTCGTGCCCTCTAGCCCCAGTCACTTTTCTGTCACTTTTCAGGAAAAAACATTTTTATTATATATATAAAATGAATTTTACAAAACCACCGTTACCCTTCTTTGGAAATAAGAGTAGATGTAAAGATATTCTATTGAGAGAACTTAAGAAACTACCGAATGGCCTAACATTTGTAGATTTGTTCGGTGGAAGTTTCTATATATCCCATTTGTGCCATACTGTATTTCCTGACTCAAAGATTATATGCAATGACTTCGACAACTATATGAACCGTCTCAAACATATACCAGACACAAACAAAATATTGAGTGAGTTGAAAGAAAAGATACCTATAGGTAAGATGGAACGTATACCATTAGATAAGAAAGATATTGTGAGAGAGGTTTTGAAAAAAGCAGAATATATTGACTGGGATAGTATATCTTCTAGACTATTATATAGTGGTTCTATAAGAGTTCATGACATTGAAACACTTATGTCAAACGTTTTATATCTTAACTATACAAAGGTTTTCAAAGAGAACATAGAAAAATATATTGAGGGTATAGAGTTTGTGAGATGTCGTTGGACAGAGTTGTATGAAAAATTTAAAGACAAGGAAAATGTTTTCTTTATAGTAGACCCGCCGTTCTATAACACATACGATTTTCAATACCAAGTAGACTGGACTTTGAGAGACTCTTTAGAAACTTTAGACGTTTTACATAACCATCCATGCTTTTACTTTACATCCGATAAAAGTGGTTTGGAAACCGTTATGAGATGGTTAGAGGACATACATGACTATGAGTATAGATATGACAAGATAGAATATGAGAGAGGTCCTATAAACCGGAAAAAGTGTCACAACAAAGAAATTTTATTGGTAACTAAATGTGGTTTGAAATAGGACTACTTGTTTTAGGTTTTTTCCATTGTGTCATCTATTTCTTTGACGTGGCAGAAAGGTACAGAGAATATGAAGATGAACCAATGTCTGCAAATGTTCAGCATATGTACTCGTAAGAGATATTTTTATCTAATATTAAATGGACGCACAGAACTTAGCGAATGCACAGCAACCTGGACAACCAAACCCAGAGAATATTCCAAATGAAGTTAGAATACAAACTGCAATGGCAAACTATGGTCAAGTGCCAACAGATGTACAAATGCAAACTGCCATGTCAAATGACGCTGCGTTAGGTTTGCCACCATGGTATGCAAATATGAGATGGAAAGAGTTTTATACAAACCCTGAAGTGGGATATAAACAACTCTATGCAGATGACGCGAACACAGGAGTTGACCCAGAGTATGTTTTCTACCAGAGGAGAAATAGAATGTATGAGCTCCAGTTAAAAAATGCTATGGAACTCAACAGGAAACGTAAGAGACTAGGCGGACATTAGATTTTTACATATAGTAAAATGGGTTTCTTTGAAGAATAGGAAACTTCTTTCGAAATGTTGGAAGAGGTATATGGAATGGAATAAAATCTGTCGGAAGAGGAATTTGGAACGGAGTCAAAAATATTGGTAAAAGAGTAGGTCAGTTCGTTGGTATTATACCTAAAGACCCTGAACCAGAAGAACAAGCTCCTGTTATACAACAGCCTGAACCTGCACCACAGTCTAGTTGGCAACCAAATCCAACACCTCAACCGTATTAAAAAATTATATTTTTACCGTTCGATAGTAGTTGTATATGAGACTAAGTTCTAAGTAAAACGCATGGTATAATGGAACTATTCTCTTTCTTCCATCTGTAGTAAACCATACTTGAAAGTCTGAAATACTTCCACTTGGTGGTTCGTATAACTTTGTAGGTTTTTCGTAAAAGTCATTTGCCAAGCATAAAAAAGAGTTTTGTGCACCAGAAAATGAAGCATGAACTATAATAGCATCTGAGTCGAAAACATTTTCATATGTTCCATTAGGGTTTTCGACTTCATAAAAGTCCGGGTGTACTGGATATTCTGCAGGCTGATTTAACATCCTCAGAAATCTATACCATGCCAAGTTGTTATATTTTGTAGAAATATAAACGTTTTCTCCAAGGTCTTCTATTCTATTGATTTTAACAGTTGCATTTTTCCTGTCATATATAATATCGAGATGGTACTCTCCTTCGTCAATGTTAAACTGGTTTGCATATTCGAGATAGATATCGTTTATTTTTTCTTGAAAAGCTTGAAGAGTTGTTTCTAAGTTTACAAGCAAATTCACTTGTAAAAGTTTTCCCTGTTCAAATTTCTCATACGTACGTTTTTCTTTGTTATAGTATCGAACTTCAAAACCGACCGTAAATGGGAAACCATGTATGGCTTCTGAAATGAACTTCATTCTACGAAAGCCAATAGCTTTTGTGACGGATGGGTCTCTTAGCCATCTTAACGGGTAGTCAAAACGATAGCCTTCATGCTTTACGGTCTCTGTCTCAAACTTTTGACCGACATTCGTAAAAAGTTCATCTAATGGTTTAGTTGTAGCAACTCTAGAAGTTTCCTTTTCTATTGAAAGCATATTTTATCTAGAATAAAAATGTCAAATGAAACAGCGTCTATGAGAGAAATACAACACAACCGACAACTCATTATACAAGCTCTAAATAAGAACACAACAAACTTTTCAAACTATTCTAAGATATCTGAGTCATTGAAAGAAGGAAGCTTAAAACTGACATTAAACCCAATGACAGATGAGTTTCTGTTTCAAGACAACAAGAACCATACTGTTTGTATAAATCCAACAAAAGGAACCTTAAACGAGAAACCTATAAAAGAACTTCTTTTGAAAGCAGATGTTGACAACAAAGCTGACAAAGAGTATGTAGACGATGCAATAGCAAAAGAAGAAGAAAGAGCTAACAAAGCTTATGCAACAAAAGAGGATGTTGAAAAGAAAGCTGACAAAGAAACTGTAGATATGTTGACACAAACGGTTTCAAGTCATGACAAAGCTTTAATGGAAGATGGACAACAGTTGAAAGAGCTTGAGAAAGGTGTTACAGAGTTAAGGAATACAAAAGCAGACTCGACATGGATAGTTGGATATGTAAATGCAACAAAAGAATATATTTTCAAATGGACAGAAGGAACATACCCACAAAAACATCATACACATTCTATATCTGATATTACAAACTTACAAGAAACCTTAAACAGGAAAAGTGACGTTGGACATACACATACTATATCTGATATTACAAACTTACAAGAAACCTTAAACAGTAAAAGTGACGTTGGACATACACATACCATTGCAAATATTACAAACTTACAAGAAACCTTAAACACTAAAGCCGACAAGAACCATACACATACAAGTTTTACAACTTTTACAGCAGATGATATTACACTAAACACAACCTTGCCAAGTAAAGCTCCAACAATACCACCGGCAACAAGTCTTGTAGATACTTTGACATCTAATGACAATAGTATTATGCATCTAAGACAGGAACTCAATGTGCTTAAACAAATTTTGCCGAATCTTATTTACCCGGTTGGTTCTATTTATACGTCAATGAACTCTACCAGACCAGAAGTAGTACTTGGTTTTGGAACTTGGACTCAAATAGTCGACAGGTTTTTGTATTGTGCAAACTCTTCAAAGGAAACAGGTGGAAGTAAAACGATTTCAGGTGAAAACTTACCTGCACACAGTCACTACATAGATTTAAGTACATCTCAAGCAGGTTGGCATAAGCATAGATATTGGGATTGGTCAGCAATGACAAAAGGTAAAGGATATGATGTTAAAGACAACGTTAAGTTTGCTATAGATTGTTACTGGAGTAACACTGAGGGAGGAGGAAACCATACACATCGCGTTTCAGGATATACGCAAACAACGGGACAAAGTAAAGACTACATGCCACCTTACATGACAGTTTACGCATGGTATAGAAATGCTTAGTCGTCATTTTCAACTTCTTTAGCATATTCGTCAGGAGTTGTCTTATATTTGTTAGGAACTGTCTTTGAAAGTATACCACCTTGAACTTTGACAAGTTTGAAACGAGGTCTGACAATAGTCGTTTTATCTTCTGCTTGCAGTCTGTACATTTTGCCATGTTTGCCTAAAACTTCATAATATTCTCTTGTATACTTTCTTCTATTTTTACGAACACGAATGTGAGTACCTGTCGGGTTCCCATTGTTGTCATAGTCAATAGTATTTTCATATGGGTCGCGTTTAGGTATTTCTATTTTTACTTTGTCTCCTTTCTGAAGTTTGAAGCCCGGCATTCTTTCTTGTTTGTCTCTTTTGACTAAACTATTAAATATATAGTCTTTCTCTAAGTCAGGGTTGTTTTTCATTTCTTCGGGGGAGTGGTTTCCCAAACCTTTTTGTTTACGGCTATTGTAAATATTTAAAACTTGTCTCATCTTTGCCATGGAGAAATGTCTGTACTTGTCGTCATATGACATTTCATCTACCTCACCACCTTGTGGTTGGTTTAAGTCTCTTAACATTTTTATACAACCGTCAATGACACCAAGAGCAGAATGGTTTTGGTCGACAATGAAATATTGGTTTACATTTTTTGAACGCAGATAGTTTTTAATATCGTCTGATTTGAAAGAACTTTCATAGTCAGATGTCAGTTTTGTTGGATGGTATTTGTCAACGAATATTGTCAAAGCAGTTTTCACATCTAAAATATTTTTGGACCATAATGGTATGGCTTCACAGTATCTTGTGTTTTGACCGACAAATATTAGCCAGTATGGTGGTCCATCTTCTCTATACCTCGGAATGTTTTCCAAGATATCCATAAACCAAGCATTTGGTGTTGAACTAAAGATTTTTACCATGAGTGCTTTCTTTGTCGCTTTAGAAACATAGGGGTCCTTGTTTGGATTCGTCATTTTTAACCCATAAGAAATGGGTTTATTTGGCGCATTAGCAGGAGTTGCATCAGATTTTTGCCCGCAGTGGGAACAATAGCCAGAGGTGTATTTGGAGTTGGAAGGAAGATTTTGAGTACATTAGGTATACTTAAAGAGAAAGCACAACCTATTATACAAACTGTACAGAAAGGTTGGGATGTAGCACGAGATGCAGCAAATCTTATTCCAAATCCTGAAACAAGAGGAAAAGTTCAAGGATGGATGGACAATGTAGGAAGACAAGCAGGAAACTACTATAACAAAGCAAATGACTACTATAACCAAGCAGGGCACTATATGGACCAAGGTGAAAGATTCTTTAACAGAGGATATAACCATGCACAACAGTGGGTAAACAACAACCAACCTCAACCGCCTCAAACGTGGGGAATGTAAAATTTTTTACTGAGATGAAATGAACAATACAGCATTGAGACAAATGGGTTCAAGATGGATTTGTCGGCTTCCAGCAGTTACACAACGTGTTTGTCAAGTTCTTCCTATACCTCAGGAAGTTTTAGACCGACTTAAAAAACCTCAACAACCAGTTGAAAACAAACCAAACTAAAATTTTTTACTGAGATGAAATGACCGAAGAAGTTGAAACGGTAGATTTGACACCACAAACAAAAAGTTCAGAACCATTGTCAAAACCTGTCAAAGAACTTACAGATGAAGAGAAAAATTCAATAATAGAAAGTGCCAGGTCTGGAAATACAACCCCCAACTACAAAGTCACTTTTCATAGAAATGGAACGGCTAGTATCTCAAAAAAGAAACAGACTCTCACAAATAAAATATTGAAGTCTGAAGGAGCTTTCGAGACAACAGATGGGAAAGTATACTTCACTGACCAACAGTTCATTATAGAACATCTCATTGACTTAGAGTCGAAATATTCTAAACTTTACAACAAACACAAAAAGTTGAAAGGAAAACAAAAACAAATGGCATATGATATTTATGAAGATGTTAACGACACAACTATTCCAGCAAGTGAGGTAAAGTCAGCAGAACCGAAAAGTGACGAAAAACCAATAGAAGAAGAAAAACCAAAAACTGAAGATAAACCAAAACCAAAGTTTAGTTTGGAAACTAAACCAAGTCAACCTTCATTAGCTGGTATGGGTTGGCGTCAAAGACTTATGGCAGCGGGCGGTTATGTAAAGTAAAGAAGAAAAACATTTTTTTATTTTTATAAAAATGCCCCCATATAGAATGGATAGAAAATCTGCTAGAATAAAAGCAGAGAGAGCAAAGATATGGTTGGAGAGTTTCGAAGAATTTTAAATATAGGAAGGGAAGACCCATAAAAGTCTATGACAAACTGGCTGGTCTTCGCTACGAAATGGACTTAGAAACAGCACGCGCCAATTATCCAAACAGACTAGAGAGGTTAGAAGAAGAGCGTCTTATGGACATGCCTTTCGATGTTAGTGAGCCTCAAGTTGAAGGACACGACGGCTTTGCCAGATTCTACTGGAAACATGACGAACAATTGCATCCTTTGAGAAGGAAAAAAGGAAAAGGTGAAGACACACATGCTCCCATGGAAAGAACAAGATATGCATATGAGAAGTATCGTGAAGTTAGAAGTAAAATTACATCTGGTCGAACCTTTACAGTAAACTTTAACGAAGGAAAGAACAAAGAAGGCTTCATGGGTGTACTTGCTGCCATACAAGACGGAAATAAGAAAGGACACAATCTCAGACTAACCGTAACAGATTTGGATGGCCACATTTACTATGCACATGGCAATGTCACAACAGCCGCACAACTTCTTGACGCTTTCAAGACTACAAAGAGAGAACAAATGTTTGACTCCGACTCAGATATTTTGAATGCAATTGAAGGAATTGCAAGTGTTAAGTTCGAATGGTACCAACCTAACCCTCAAGCAGTCAGACAACATGCTGGATACTTCCCCTTCATAAATAAGTCTGACATTGACTTGACAAGGTATGGAATTTACAATTCAATTGAAACAATTGTCAATGAACCTTGCATTCTTACATGTCTCAGGAACTCTGGTCTTGTTACAGATGAGAAGATGAAGTATCTTGAGTCATGTGTGAAGACAAGGTACCTTCTCAGAGGTCAATTGGCAAAAATTGCACCGTTGGCAAATGTCAATATTCGAGTCAACATTCCGACTGAGAAAGGTTCTTCACATGACGACTATGTTGTTGACAAAGACTTACCATGGTTGAAGATTGCAATTGTCCATAACCACTTCATGTTGAACGAAAGTCTTACAAACCCATTGTTCGGAAAAGGTAAGTGCAACATTGTCAGAGCTGTTAACATTCTTTTCGAGAAAGGTTTGTTGGAACCAATTCCAGATGACAAGCTGACAGAAACTTTTGTACCAAAAGACGAAACAAACTTTTCATTGTTAAGACCAAAAGTTGTTCCAGACAAAGTTCTAGCACAAAAGAAGTACACAGTTCCAAAAGGAGTTGGATTGTTCGGATACCAACCTGAACCAGAAGAACTTCCAATGAGGTTGCAAGAACTTCAAGATGCTATAAACAAACTTCCATTGAGACATCCAATCGACGTCAAATTGTATTGGAGAGCTTCTGAGTTAGGTCAGAAGGTTTTATATGAAACAGGTTGCTTCGA